CATCTCTTTTTAATATTTTTCCTCTATCTCTACTATCAAATTCTGCCTAATGGCTTCCTCTTACATAGTTCTAGTCATGTGCAACGTAGAATCTGATACATAGGTATGTCAGCTCAAGTTGTCATGTCTTATAAGCAAAGAGAGATAAAATTATCGAGACAAATTCCAGATTACTAACAGTAGTAATAACATTTGTGGTAGTAGGAAAGATTAGGTACATGCAAAGAAATAAGGTATAAAGGTATAAATGCCCTGGTACAGCCGAGAGTGGGGAAAGTTCGCTCTCCCCCTCAAAATACTCTCACACGGACACGCATTTACAGCCTCTGCCAGGGAAGTCCTACTCACCGCCTTCTCATGGCGGGGGTGTTGTTTACGAAAATGAGGGGACGAAAAGCGAATGTCCGGCGCTTTAACCGGATCCCAAACCAATGGTGCACATGGTCTCCAGTATCCTGAGGGAACAAATGGCGTATGAACCAATTTTCGGTCACCGGCTACCATGGGATTGCATCTCCTTACGATGCTCCACTGCCTAGTGGGTTAGACCTATAGGTCAAAGGCTCGTGGTGTGGCCCCCCCAAGATAACCACCTGCTTCGGTTTGAGCACCCGGGCAGTATCACAGCCCACACACAAATGATGAACTCTCTATGTCTATGGAAATTACTTTTCTCGCTTCGAAAAACAATCAATTGATTCAAATTATTATCATTACAATTATTGTCATTATTAGTACTATTATTATTATTACCATTATTGTCATTATTATTATTATTTTCGCTGATGTGCCACCTGGCGTCCTCCCTCTGCATCTCAAGCCTGGACTCAGATTGATGACATCGCGATCAGCTACCGCTGGCGTGGTTGTGTAAAAGACTGCCGCTCCTTCTGGAGTACCTATCTGGACTCTGACCATGCTTTGGTTTGCGCTAATCTTACCTTACTTTCCAGTGGCCAACGAAGTGACCGCCATCAACGGATTGATATTAGCAAGCTGGTCGCAACTTCTGTTGCAAGTAAGTATCGAACTGAGCTAGCCTCTAGGCTAGCTACCACTCCACCGAAAAGTATGGATGAACATTGGTTGCAGTTGCATGACGCCATGAAAATGGCGGGTACTGACAGTTGTGGGGTCGCGAAACGTCCCGCTTTTAAGCACTGGGTTTCTTCTGGTTCCTTACAACACATTGAAGCCCGTCGGTCTACTCCGGGTGACCGTAAGTTTGACCACAAACGAAGGATGTTACGTAAGGAAATCGGGCAAAGCTTGCGTAAGGACCGAGAAGCCTGGTGGTCGGAGCGTGCCAATGAGCTGGAAGTAGCAGCTGCATCTGGTAATTACCGGAAGCTCTTCCAACTCATCAGAGCCACTGGCAGCAAGAAGTCTGGTGTAAGCGAAACAATCTACGAGGATGATGGGATACCAATCACTAACATCCATCGACGTCTTGGACGATGGGCAGAATTTTTCGAAAGGCAGTTCAATTGGCCTGCTGCTCCGGCAACACCGGTCAGATTGTCCTACCCTCCATGGCCGGTGACGATTGATCCACCAAATGAGGCGGAAGTCCACAAGGAACTCCAACTCTTGAAGCGTTACAAATCACCTGGCCCAGATGACTTACCTCCGGCTCTTTTTAAAGATGGTGGTGACTTTTTGACTAAAGAACTGACGACGTTGTTTACAAAGGTTTGGGTGTTAGAGAGTGTACCAACGTCATGGAATGAGTCGATAGTTGTCCCTGTCTTTAAAAAGGGTTCATGTCGTTCCTGTAACAACTATCGGGGGATAAGTCTACTTCCGATTGCGTCCAAGCTATTGGCTTCCGTCATTCTTCGTAGGTTGTTCAAAACCCGAGAAAGATTGACTCGCGAGGAGCAGGCTGGGTTTCGTTCTGGTCGAGGATGTATTGATCATATCTTCACCCTCCGCCAAATGTTAGAACACCGCCATACTTTTCAAAGGCCAACAATCGTAGTGTTTCTTGACATCAGGGCTGCCTTCGATTCGTTGGATAGGACTGTTCTCTGGGATTGTCTATTGAAGAAGGGTGTGCCTGAGAAGTTTATTAACATCCTAAAAGCCCTGTATAAAAACACCTCAGGCAGAGTGAGGGCATACAACCACCTCTCTCCACTGTTCCATTTGAGCAGTGGGGTTAGGCAAGGTTGCCCAATCCCAACATTCCTCCTCAACTTTGCCACCGATGACATTCTGGAAACAGCTATGATGGATGTAAGTACTGGCGGTGTGGATCTGTTGCCTAGAGAAAGACTTCTCGACCTTGAGTATGCGGATGATATTGTCTTACTGTACGATAACGCCCAAGGCATGCAATCCGCACTTAATCAGTTGGCAATCAGTGTCCGTAGGTATGGTTTGTGCTTTGCACCTTCGTAGTGCAAAGTACTGCTACAAGACTGGTAGGATTCTAAACCTGTACTCACCCTGGATGGTGAGCAGATAGAAGTAGTCGAGAAGTTCGTGTACCTAGGTAGCTGCATAAGTGCTGGTAGTGGCGTGAGTGATGAGACCAATGCACGTATAGTGAAAGCCAGAGCGGCTTATGCCAATCTGGGCCACCTCTGGCGCCTTCGTGATGTTAGTCTGGCTGTAAAAGGTCGGATCTACAACGCGTCGGTGAGGGCAGTTTTGCTCTATGCTTGTGAAACCTGGTCTCTCCGAGTTGAGGACGTTAGACGACTCTCTGTGTTTGATCATCGTTGTCTCCGAAGGATTGCTGACATTCAGTGTCAACACCATGTCAGTAATGGAGAGGTTCGGCATCGTGTGTTCGGGCACAGAGATGATAATTCAATTGGTGTCACCATCATGAAACACCGACTTCGGTGGCTTGGACATGTTCTACGAATGTCGTCCCAGAGAATTCCACGTCGTGCATTATTTGCCGACTCTGGGACTGGTTGGAAGAAGCGGAGAGGTGGTCAGTGCATGACATGGTGTCGTGGTATGAAGGAAAGCTGTAAAGGACTGGCTTGTGTCGGTCCTTCACGACTCCCTGGTTGGGGTCTGAGAGATGGTGCTACACAGTGGCTAGAAACGTTATCAGATATGGCTCAGAATAGAAGCCAGTGGCGATCCTGCTGTAATCTTCTTTTACTTTCTTCATAAAATGTGGTTGTGTCTCCCTTAACTGAAAGATTTCTTCCGATTGTACCTTTGCGTTCCCTCATTACTACCACACTACCTTATACCAATCTCTTCGTTATTGTCCTCTTTTTTTCGATTTCTCTTCGAATTCTCATTGTTTTGTGTGGCGCATATATATTGGCGCTCTCTTGTACCAATATTTATGTGTTCAAATAAATAAATAACCCCCACGTCGATAAATCAGAATGATCTGATCCATATGTAAAGGCAAGGATTGGCAAATCAAGGGCAACATTCCTACAACTGAAAAACATATAGAATTCGAAGCAAACTCAAGCAACAAATAAATATATGGATTAGTGTTCAACGTTCGGTTTATCAAAAAAGCACTTGCAATCTTCTTTACTTGAATTTCAATAGATTCTGTCCAATCAGTTGTAAGAAGGCGTTAGTCAAAGCACTATTTTATAGAGTAGAAAAGAGACGTAACACCAAGAAACTGGAGGAAGAATTGAGGAACGTTGAGAAATACCTGTGAGACAACTGCTGCTCACGGAAATCCATCAAAAAGTATAAAAGAAAACCTGAAAACAACAAGACAGATGTGACCACAGTCAATAAAAAACCAATATTTATGAATCCGAGCTTCAAAGATGAAACGTCGCAAGCACATTCAACACGAAGATTATCACTGAGTTAGCAAGCACCTACCCTGAAACCAAACCAGTAATCCTGTATAAGCCATGCTTAATAACCCGATCGAAGGTCGACAAGTAACCCTTCCACTATACCATCAATTGTGTCTATAAATTTAAAAGAACTTGTCGAAGCAGCTACATTGGGCGAAAACAGAAGGTATACATTAGATTTTATGAACACGTCACGAAAAGCCTTCAAACAACAGAAAGAACCACTTTACATACCACAATCACTAAACATCTCTTGAACATAGGAACAATCAGTGTGTTTTATTCCTTTGTGGAGTTTCGAATTTATTTAGGTCATCAAAATTTGCAATCACTAGACGGCATTTTGGCTCGTATCAGTGAAACATAGTACTATAAGCAGGTAGGAAATAGCAATAAATGTGAGTTCTGTTTACCCCAAACACTTGCATGTATAAAACAAATGTGTAAGTTAAAACACATTGCATTACACTCTTATCATCACTTTGAATTCTGATGTTAGTCAAGAATTCAATGCGCCCTATGATTAAAATTGTCCAGATAAGCAGGTGGGATTCGAAATGAGAAGTTAATTCCTATTTCACATCTACACTAAGGTTCACACAAGATTCAGAAGGGCTACACTGAACTGATTAGGCGCGGATCAAGCATTACCACAGCCTTCGAATAGCATTTCCCATTCAAGTAAAACTGATCTCAAGAGTGACAGACCGATTTCATATCAAAAATTGTTTCGTATCCACTGATTGGAAAATGCAACCTTCAACATGATAAATATTTCGATTCTTTCTTCCTTTCGTTCCATAAAACCTGTAACAAAATATTTCATTGACGTTGTAGTGGGGAGCGGAAAATGAGAAAACCACTTTCCTCAATAGTATCATCTAAGCATTTGAAGAAGACTAACAATTAAGTCGAGTGGGACCATGGTATTTATGAATAATCTAAAATGCACATCTAATATATAATTCCTGCTCGATCTTTGATAAATAATACCGTTTGCCGTTAAATAATAGAGATCCTCACATTTATTTACAAATGTAAACCGTGCACTAGTAGATGTCTTCGCAAAAACTAGAGAAGAACTATTTTCACAGTCGTTCCCTGCTGTTGTTTAGGTCTATCTATCAAAACAGCTTTCCACCCCAACGGAAGAGACTTCATCGATAGTAGTTCATAGCTTATGAGAAGAAAACAGTGTACAATAAAAAGTGACTTATATAAATTACTGTGAAATATTAGTCATTTAAGCAAAATGAATAAAAAGACTCCAGAAAATGTTTTACTGTTTCGCATAAGTAAGACTATGACAGTTTATGAGCTCAGTGATATTTACATGTCATTAATTTAACACAGCATTTAGTAATAAAGTATATTTTCAAATTCTACTCCTGACTAAACGATACCCATTCGTCGATAAGTGCTTCCGAAGTTTTCCACACATGATCGCAAATTTCATCATTTAATGCTTGGGAGTTACATCTGCGTGGCTGACACTCATAATAAAATGCGCCAGGAATGAGATTGTTATCAAGAGCACAAAATACTGTTGTCTGAGCACCTTCACGAGATGTTTTTGTCAACCATCGAAATAAATAGTAGACTAGAAACTAAAATTAAAACAAATCTTAGTCGAACAGTAAAAGTTAATTAGTTTACAAATGCGCATCAATACATTATAAATTCTCTCAAACACATGCATTTCATCACATATTAATCAGTAAAATCGACGCAAACAGCTTCACTGTAACAGTTCCGAAATACTGTCTTACATTCTACGATAAACAGGTAGATGCATGCACACGAGTACGCAGAAACAAATTGACCACTTATTTACCTTTCAACAACTCCATTTATATTACTATTTATTCAAACACATAAATATTGTTACAAATGGCCACCAAAGTAGATGTGCGTTACACAGATAAGACAATAAGATTGTGAAGTAAAAGAAGGAGAGGAAGTATGACCAATTAAGTAAATGGCAGTAAAGGAGAATAAATTATGATAGGAGAGACGGATCAATTTAACAGATCACAATTAGAACGAATTCTTTTAGGTGACGAAGTTCCTCTCACATTTTGAAGTATAAAAGGAAATTACAGCAAGATCACTGCTGATTTCTGTTATGGCTCATATATGATAACGTATTAACACAAAGACGGCCCAGACTGACATAAACCACTTTGAGTTCTAATATTTGTAGATTTATCTCATCAGCCACACTACCACCAACGTCCAAACACCCCTAAAGGTTCACTACAAACAGTGAGTGTGGGAACAGGTTTTTGCTAGTCTTCCAAAAGCACTTTGTATCTTAAAGGCCCACATACATTCCATACCTAAGAACATTGATCGTCAACTGATTAAGTGCGATTTGAATAGTTGGGGTATCATTGTACCACCACGACATTTGTTTTAGGAGTTGTGATGCACGACAGTCGATAATGTTGATGAGACCTGGAAGGTTCTGTTTCGAACATAAGAAATAAGTGTTCAGATGAAATTATACGGTTTTTCGTATCATTTAGGAATATTACTATTGTCTAGCATTACATAAAAGAAACGGGGAATTCGGTGGAACTGGTTACTTAGGTTGTAATTGCGCGAGCATTTGGGATTTACAAAGAGACCAGTAGCTTGAACTCAATCAAAGTGTCTATTCCACAAATTTTGAGCATTCCTGAAAACACTCAAAACTATGAGGAAGTAGGAATTCCCTTTCTATTCAACGTTGTTTATAAAACATTCGTCGAACGAATTCCGATTCAAGTCTTCAATTTGTATAAATTTCACTAACAAACTCATTACTTAATCCTTGTCTAGTGGTGATCACTTCGTTATCTCTCCATTCTTGGGTAACCACATTCATTTACTATTGCTGTGATAACTGTACAGACAGAGTTGAAGCCAACGTCATCATCAGCTGTTTGGTAGTAATCTTCATCAGATTTCGCAACATCACAGTTTAGTTCACAGTGGAGATCAGTTAACTAAACCTCAAAAGAGAGTTTGTTTGAGATTGTTGCCGTAAATATAGAATACTTATGCAATAAACAGGCACCACTTAACCACACACGGTATGTATAAACAGGGAGTTCGCTTTATAATCAAAGGAAAAACACTGGATATAACACATAATACAAACATCAACTCACATATTTCCCTTTGCATGAACGAAAAATGGATGTTCTCACCAAGCCTGGATGAACGCTGACTGAAATAATCCCATCTCCAGACCAACGTTTACAAATCTCACGTGCATGAATCACATTTAACAGCTTACTAATAGCATAACCAGAGCCTACACCTGACAAGAATCCGCTATTCGGGTGTAATTTAGCAAACCAATGTGACAAAGATGACAGAATGATTACACGACAAGGTTTCCCATCAGATGCATGCAAACACGGCTTTAATAATTTAGTAAGCAGAAAATGACCCAAATGATTCACTTTCAAGTGTTTCTCAATTCCAAGCTCATCGTAAATCTTCTCTGGAAAATCTGCCCCAGCATTATTAATTAAGATGGAAATTGATTTTTCTCTACTAATTATACGATTCGCAAACTCTCGAATAGATTTTGGCGACTCCAGATCCAACTCTTCACAAATAAGCTATTGAAAACGAGATAATAATTACAAGGTTTACTCATGTCTCAGTAACAATCTTTCAACAAACAACTTAAAACAACAAATAACATCGACTAAATAAAACCTAGGGAGTCACTGAAGATGGTAGTGGAGCGGTGAAATAGTGGTTTAAGCACTCGAATTACAGACAATACATAACAGGTTTGGATCCTGCTCCATCTAATTTCATCTGGGCATGATAACCATGAGTAAAAAAATATCACGTTGTAAAACAATCACAATTAACATACTTGATCTGGTTCCAGATGAACACTCAATACTGATGGCTTCTCATTACGAGTTCTAGTCAGAAGCTCCTGTCGAGCCAATTCGCATTTCCTTAGATCTCTGCATGCCATTATAACGCGGGCCCCACGGCGAGCCAACTCATCCACCGTTTCTAATCCAATACCAGTATTGCATCCCGTAACAATAACTGTTTTACCATCCAAACGATCTTCAAGAGTACACTCACAATGACCGAAGTATTTTCTCTTAATGATATACAATGTACTAACAGCAACAACAATCCATATGTACGGACAAAAGAAACATACAGAAACATAGGAGAACAACTGATCCATCCTCAAATTTGTTCTTAAAACTGAAACAGAAATTCAATTATCTATATTCACTTTCAAACATGTAACGTAAACATAGTTTATACAGCAAACAGACAGGTTTCGAGAATACTTGGACTGATTGCTCGATTGTCGTGTCTATGTTAAATGATTCAAACTCCTAGATTGGTCCTCGTCAATTCAAGCCCCGTGTCACCTAGACGAGATATTTATCTGCCAGCTAAAGAACCAGCTTAACACATAGCACTTCTTTGTGCTGCTTAATTGGTGTGAGACGTGGTCACCAAGAACAGAGGATATTTCTGGGTTACTAGTAATTGACCACAGATGTCTTCGAAGCACCTATGATGAATTTTGGGATAACTGACTGAGAAATCGTGGGGTTATGTGTAGGCTACCAGGCAAGATTGTAAACCCATCGATGAGGTAGTGGAATTCCACAGATTGAGGTGATTGCAACACACTTTACGTATACCTAGCTACCACCTACCTCGGTGAGTGATTTTATCTGATGCAAGAGTAGACTGAGAGAAAGCTAAGGCCCACCACAAGACGTAGCACACTTCTATGAAGTCATTGACAACTGGGACTGAGTTATGTTGAAGGGTTTAGGATACTTGGTTGGAATCTATGCGATCACTATGTTAATGCAGTATGGCGACTCGAACCGATGCATTGACGTACCAGGTTTTGCGTCTCACAATACCGACTAACTGACAGCCCTATTTAAAGGAGGCAAAACTGTAGATGAACATTTATATATCCACCAACAATCGATCCACTAGACCTTAAACACATGATTCGAAAAGTAATCCAAAATCATACTGAAAAATATGCGATTTTCTTATCACATTGATGGGCTGGTTCGAATATTTTGAACTAGGCAGTAGTTGATATAAGGTAATAAATAACTATATGGACATATATAATCTGAAACATCAGATCAATCAACTCGACTAACTAACAACATAAATTACTGAGTCGTATAGCTGCCTGTTTCTAACAGTCTTCATATTATGTGTATTACGTTGAAGCCTCTGAAAATTCCTAGCTGATATTTAGGCCTGATGAACAACAGAAATCCATGTTGTCGAGTGTCGAGAAACTGCCATTGAAACCTACTGATAGGTCTCGATCGCCTTTTGAAAGACAAATGAGCCTCGATAGGCCAATCAATGCAGAGCTCGGTACAAATATGCATGTATATGCTCAAAATACAAAAGTCTCCATATGATTTTAGCGTTGCAATGTTTCATGTGTTTCACCAATCTGCAAATGACTAGCAGACAACCTACGCTCCTAAACTTCAAAACATAAAATCGAATTTTCTGAGTTTGTAGACTATTTCAATGTTTTCCGACAGATAATGTAGATCTGAGGCAAGGCTGCCACCATGTTGTGTGTGCGTTGTGTACTAGGTGAGCAGACAAAGTAGTGTGAGTGGAGTCGTCGGCAAAGTAGAGAAACAGGAACGAAATGTGACTTGACGACCCAGCAAGCACACACAATGCACTTACTTTCAATAAGAACTTTAACGAACAATAATCAGTAAGAACACAAGCCTCAGATTAATACAATCTGGGAGTCGAAACTAGTAGCCGATAGTTTAAACTGCTACAATGCACTTTACTTGATTCGGTCGGGCAGCGAGGTTGGATTACTGGTTCATATAAAAAACAGCGTAGCTCAAAGCCTACTACACAAACTTGTTAGCAACCTACATAGTTATTGAAAATATTAAATCCTACTAATCAATGCAACTCTACAGAATTCCCGAACGGTTGGTTTTACATAGTTCTCTTAGTAGTTGGTGATATACACTGAAGAAATTATTAACATGAAGTGATACATTACAAATGATTCTCGTTCACCTTATGACCATGTTTATACATAGCGACAATCACTGGTCAGACAAATGCAAAAGTATTTAACAACTCTTTGAGACAATATAGGAAACCTCACTCAGTAGGTGCTAGTCACCATTATTTGTCGGAATCACTTCCAATTATATGCCTAGATGCCGTCTAAAAGGAAACAAAATAGCACACCAAGGCGGTATATATGCACAGTTTATCCAAGAGAATAGAACATATCAGAAGGCTCTTCATATTAGTCAACCAACCAAAACACCGTTTTATGTTTCCGGCTTATCTAACGTCACTAACATAGTTAATGTCAACAACGAGTGTAAAGTGAGTCGAAAATAAAGATACTCAACATTAAAACAAAGCTTAATTTGGAATATGGCATTGCGAACTGAATAACAATATCGATTATAGGAAACCGGTGGGATACATCGCTGAAGTAATTCCGAATAAAACATGGACCGAAATGCGAGGGTGAACTCAAACCGAAACATGTAAAATGCTCATGATTCCTATCAAATTCGTTCCAGCCTCAACACACCTCTTGTACGCATTTTATGTTTGGTCCCTTAAAATTCCTAACTAAGAGCTAGACCAGCTAAAATGATTCCTGTTAGTACGTTAATTAACTGCACGAAAGTATATTAAAGCTTAAGCCTTGTAATTGTAACCCATGACTTTCAATTTATTTCGTATTTCGAAAGTGTCGGATGGTAACGCGCCTGTGGAATGAAGTGCAAAATTTGGTGTAATAGTAGTGAACTTACTGATAGAATTAGGATCTAGGCATAAGGCGTTCTATAGTCCTATAGGGCTATGTGCTATTGTATAAGCGTTTAAGAGTTGGGATCTATGGTGTAGGAGTTTTGGGACAATAAGATAAGGTCTTAAAGATTGAGGGTTGAAAATTGGGTTTTAAAGAGTGTAAAGCCATACACCTTGCTAGCATTGGTTGAAACAAATAAAGAGAGAATTGAAGCAATTTCCGGGGATTCAAGAGCTCTTATACGTAAGCTACATTCTGACTGGCTACTTTTGAACAAAAGTCGTCAAGGTCGTCCAGGAAATCTTTTAAGGTCGTCGGTTTAGTGTAGTTTAACCCATCCTGACGTCTCTGACTAGTGTGAGTTTATAGGTATCTCACGACCTAAACTTCAAAATATCATAGTTTACGCGTATTAGCAACTACTCGTGTCTTCATGAATGTTACATAAGTTAAGACCTTGTTTCCACTACATGCTCCCACATGTTCTACCACTTAATTCGGAAAGGATTGCCGAAAAATCAAGTTTCCTTACCTCCTGCTAACAATCTTCTCCTTCATGGATCACGAAACGTCCATGGACAATCACACACACGATCATAAGTCATCCTAAAAGAATTTATTCAATGTTTTGTACAATACAAAGAGACATTGTGGCTGTTCAAGCGATTGGACTTGAAATGTGATCTATGGGTTTTAGTACTAACCATCTTTTAATGGTCAGTAGGAAAAGATTAGTTTAGGCAACGAATTTCATTTGTTGATGATTCGATGCAAAGTCGTTAGTCAACTGACAAATGATTCATTCTGTAGCATCGACGTGTCCAAGGGCTTTGAATATTGGACGTGAGGTTCGAAAACCTTCGACAGATATCTCACAGCATTGTTCAGTGCTCTTCAAGTCTTGCCCAAACATGACTATCAGGTCATCCTGTGTCTGGACAGCATGTAGCTCGACGTCACTCACTGTGTGTGTATCAGTTCTTCTGTGACCAATATACAACATGATACACCTGGAATCATTTGTCGAAAGCTGCCAGATTCTAGACCACTCAAATTACTTCCGTAGATCATTTTGAAGCTCAACACTGTGCTCATCATTTCTTACCGCCCTCCACATCTTGATCTCGTCTGCAGATAACAAAACTAATGATTTCAGGACACATGGAAAGTCATTCGCGTGCAGAAGAAAAGCACTAGTTCGAAAGTTGTACTCCACAACACTGCAATGAGCACAGTTCCCTAGCTAGTTCACTTGGACTTGACCCGCACTTTTTATTGACGTCTAACTAAAAAATCCTTCACCTAGTAAGTAGGTCGCTCCCAATGCCTGTATCACGTAACCTCACCAATAGCCTAACTGAAATCGATGAAGGCTAGATCCTGAGATAGCTTCTGGATTTTAACGGCACAGCAACTTTCACGAGCTATCAGTAAAGCAGTGTTACTGACACATTACAGTATATACCTGATGAATTTTCGATAAAGCTAGCGGGCCATCGTGTCCCATGAACTTAGGTTAGGTTAGGTGAAAATAATTCGATAAATATTAGTTTGCGTTACAGAAAGAACACTCGAAGTATCTCCTCAAAATACTTCATCGAACAGTATAGTCTTTCCTTTAATCTTTCTTATCTGTACTTTTAGTTCCATCAACACCACCTCAACCATGGTTCTATGCTCATCAGTCTTCTTGGACCAAATCTTTATCTCTTGACTTTGGTTAGGATTAACCCCTATTACTTCAATTTGTTGTTGGGTGTCATACGGCTATCGACAATTAGTCTTGTCTGACAGGAACGAAATTAATGAAGTAGGCAGTTGTTCATTAACGCACTTTGATGAGCCTGTCGGAACGGTTAACTGTAACTTTCCAGATGAATATTTGATTACAATTTTGGGAATTTTCATTTTGATTCTCTGCTACTAGATCGTTAGTCCTCGACCTTTTCGGCTCGGTCGTAACTATTACCTTGACGTGTTGGTCTGATTTGCTTATCTTTAAGACTCAAGAGAGAAGTACTGGTTGCAACACATGTTTCTTTACGTAGTTTGTGGAACTTTGATACCAAAGACAGTAATTTAGGGTTAAAGAGCTAATTCGTACTGTTTACTGTAGACGGTTGTGATGGCGGCAAGGTGCTTAACTCAGACAACCAGCATCTGTAGGGATGCTGCCTCCTAATAACGAAAGGAGGAGGATAGAAAGGGTCGACTTTGAAAGTTTCATACCTCATGTTACCCCTAAGGATTTCCGTCTACGGTAGTAAGGTCGTTTGAAGTGTGGAGTTAATCCGTCAAAATCTTTCCATAAAGGACCATGAGCGACCAACCTCAAGCAGTTGTTCCTTGGGCTCTGCAGTCACGCTCTCAGGTCGCTAAGACCACCCCTAACTCAGTCTCCTCTTCAGGCCCCTCAGGAAAATATATCCTTCCACAATATGGGCAGCCGGGAAGTGGTGACCCGCTTCATACATCTGGATGCACCCAGGGTCAACTTATTCGCGATCCTATCTCTCCCTCACCTTTTAGTAATTCTCCTATCCTCACAGTTAATCTCTCCTGTGTGCCCTAATAACACACACTCTCAAGGCTAGTGATTTAAACCTACGGAATATTATTCCTGGACTATTGAGATCACGCTTCAAACTACGTGTTAAAGCTTTTGATGTTCGAAACTGGTGTCATGTGGAACAATAGGTTTTTTAGCTGGGACTGTAGATTTCGTTTGTTCAATTTAGCCATAGACATGTCTTTATAGATGGCGCTTTCATCATCTGACTTTTCTGGGGTTGACCTCTGGCCAGTATATTCTTTTTTTGAAGGTTTTGTGAGAACTTTCACAAAATACAGTAGTTATTGGAGTCGTTCTCATGACCTAGTTTCACAACTGATCAATTCTGTTGATGTGTCCACTACTTATAGCAATTTTTTCCATAAACGTATCGTGTAATGTTAATGATCATATTCTTAAATAGCAGTTGAATAATGTATTTGAAGTCTCAGTGCTTTTTCCGAAAAATTGGTTTCTTTTTGACACTCCAGTTTTGAATTGAAGTATACTTTACCGAAAAGTCAATCGAATCTGGAATAGTGGCTGTTGACTTCCTGGTAGAAATATGTTTTGCAACACCGGATCATTTGCACCTGATTAAGAGATATCTTAAAAGCGTACCAGTATTTATTCGTTAAGATGCCTAAATTTGATAAACATAACCGGTTCAAAGATGACACAGTTACTCGGTTTTCGACAACACCTTTACAAGTAACAACTTTATAATCTAAATGTATCAACATAGTCAAGCCATAAATCAAAAATGAATAGGTTCGAATACATATTTGGAAAGCAACGGATATATCGGGAAGCGTTTGGTCTAATGTGGCTGGCAGTCGAACGGCATACCCACTTGTGATCTGGTGACGATGAGTGACCAAGCGATTTCATCTAGTGCTTGTACAGTAAAACCAATGAGGTTAGGATTAATAACGAAGACATACAGGACTATTTGTTTTGAGAATTTATTTACCGCCACAAGTTAAAGTGATGTTGGATAACTGAAGGGATTCTTCAAGTTACAGGAGAAAGTGATTGACTTTTAATGGGAGAAGTCATAAAGTACAGATAGAATTTAAATATGCTTAAATTTTAACGTGATTTATGAGTTTCTGAAGTCAAATGTGGTCCCAGTTTGCAATCCTAACTCTGAACCCCTTGGTAACGTCATTTTAAACACTTATGAATATAGTATGCTTGTTTTGTTTACCGAGTAATACTCACTTAATTGACTTGGCTTCAACAAGTGTCTTATTAAAATTGATCATCGAATTACTGGGTTTAAATATTATTTCAGAGACCAGGGACATATGAAATCAGATAACATTCGCATCAATGGCCAATTCAAATTAGTTACCTGATAAAGATTATTTTGTAGCCCAAACACTCCTAGACGAACGCAGTAGCTATGTGCAGAGTGAAGTTCACATATGTCGCAGAGTCATGGTTATAAGAGATTTAAACGCATGCATTCAGTCAGAAGAAATTTGTTTTGGCCCTCCGACCTGACAGTCAACAGAGAACAATAGCTACTAGTAAATGTGATTTACCTGGATGAATGTGACTTAAGTGGAGTACATACTTTCTAAAGAAGGGCGTGATATGACCGGTAAGTTCAAGTGAATCAAATGCTATCGTACGTTTAGTAGGTTGAGAATACAAGTCTGAACAAGCTATTGTAATCAAGTCAAAGTTACCACCCAAATGTTCATGTCATCCAATGACTTATGTAAACTCAAGTATTATTTAGATTCAACAGCACAGCATTCCATGAAGTATTTGCCTTCTCTATTAAGATAGCTGACTGGCCAAGCGTTTAGAAGTACGTAAGTGATTGGATAACGAGGCAAAACAGAACATGACATCATGACTACTGTCAGAAGTAATGACGATTATTTTGTTGAATCGAATTCAAGACGATGGCCGCGCAACATCGTGGATCGGTGGAAGTTAGACATTAGCGCCGTTGGATGTTGGTTCAGTGGTCTAGAGTTTTAGTGGTTGCGCGCGAGACTGAACGTCATGGGCTCGAGTCCCGTGTGGAGATCGTGGATGCACACTGCTGATAGGTCGCGTACTATGACGAAACGGCCGTCCAGTGCTTCCAAGTTTCCAGTGATTGTCGAACACTGATCAGTTCATGATCTCAAGTGAAACTCAGCGATCTCCACAACCCTATACTGATGAATTCAAGACGAATGTTCCATCGAATTTTTATACTAATCAAATAATCCGTTTATCCAATCTGTGATGATGACCACAGTCAACCGCGACTCGACGCCTACTGCGAAATAATAGGAATATATTTCAGGGGCAGCTAGAGAATGATCCAGTCAACCATTGAGACGGTATCCAAACTGAGATAGTTTGGCATGATATACGGAAGATTATAAAAACAGCATTGATATGTAATAGCAAGCTAAACTGAAATGTTAGAAAAAATTATTTGATTTCAGCGATGTCTGCTAAATTGTTAGGTGCTTGGGAGCTTATTTATCTGGCTTTGAACCGTTGGACAGAACAGTTCAACTTCGGTTACCTGCTGTCTCCAAGCAACCTGAATGAGAAACTTACACAAATCCGCCGAATTTTAGTGAGATTGAGGACATAAGTGATATGAAGCGGGCGAGAGCCTCAGGGCCTGTTGTTCCAGTCAGTGAGATTGTGGTCTAATTTTGGCTGTAGTATTATCTAAAATATTGTCTAAAATCTGGGAACCGGTCGTAATCTCATCTGACTAGTCTCGATCGCTTGTCGT